GACTGGCAGTGCTGGTGATTTATTAAGTTATCTACATACAAAAATAGTAAGCGCTCATTTTATTGCAGATAAGTATATAGCAGCGTACCATACTATAGTTCCCGAAAAATATAGTTTAACTATTAGTGTTTGTAGCCACCTTTTTTTGATAATTTGAGGATGCCAATTGTAGAATATCTAAATTGGGAGGAGTCTGGCTACACAAGGCAACCATGCTGTGGACAATTTTATGTCATTTTATTTTTGTGGTTTTTGTAGTTTTGGGACACACCACAAAATTAAAACTCACAAATTCATTAACCTCATCCCCTTACTAGCATAATATGAACTAATTAACTGTCAACCACAAAACTTAAACAATCAGTGAAATAATAGATCCATAAAATAACCCACTATGCGATTGGTAGTGTGTAAACCAGTATTCAGTAAATGTGTACTTGAACCCTCATTATTTCCAGACTGCCATCAATTTTGCTTCATAAAGCTAGGTTTAATTGCATCAGTTATTAGTTTGCGCTACATGTATCACAAATGGTTTTTTACATTGAGACTTTATTTAAAAATTATTTCTTCATGATAGTAAGCTAAAAATAATTAATTTAGATAATTCTCTATTGAACTCAATTCTGCTTTTGGTAATTTTTTTCTCCTCACTCATTCCTTCAGGAAGTACCTCTGTTACAAAAACTTAAAAGTTTGCAGTAACCCTCCTTGACTTCTGAAATGTTTGGTAATCACAATCCCCTGATATGTTTACTGATAATAGATTTATTTTAAAATCATGTGCCAGTGCAAGGACTCTCACTTACTCTATATGATAGAACTAAATTCTATTCCAGTATCAATGTGACATCAGGACAAGTTTAATAATTATTGTAAACCCACCTTTACGCTGTTAAGGTCAATGCCTTATATGGTCATTGTCCTATGAAGTCATCATTGACATCATTCATCTATCTATAGCAGGAGTAGAATTATAACAACAAGAAAGGCCAATATGGCTCTTGTATTCTTTAGTTTCTTTTTGCTATTGCTACTTACAGGTATAATGATCAAATGTATGTTAAGGTAGTCTTGTTTATTTTATGTATAGATCTAGTTCAAGGCCAATTGCAGGAGGATGTAATTGTAGAGTGTTATTCATCTGCTGCTGATTGTACTAGTAATACTAATGGAGTCAGTCTTGCAGCTATTGACTGCTGTAATAGAACTGGTGGAGGATATATACGACACTCTTCACTAGCTGCACAGTGTGGTGCATGTGTCAGTAAGAGAGTTTGTAACATAAACACTGAGTTATTTTATTATTTAGAAGCCATTTTTATTTATTTATATTGTATTCACTAGTTGTTGGTTTTGATCAATCACGTGTGCATATTGGTCCAAGTGATGCTGATAGAAGATACTCATTTACTGCTGATGTACTCCTCAGTACTCCTGGGGCTCCTGATGTTACTTGTCTGGATTATACTATTTCACGAGAGCCAGCTGTGCTAGTTGATGGTAGATAATGCTTTATTTACATAATATTTTATTTCTCTGTTTAAAGTTGTTGACTACTTAAGCTCAGATTTTCGTGGACGAACCAATGGTTTCCTACCAGAAAGGTTTAGCATACGATATGCATCATACGGGAATGGAGTTGCTCTCCAACCAACTCTCTCATTTAATTACACAATTGCTGCTGAAACTGATGCAGCTGCTGGTGATCCACCAATACCATCAGGAGTTGTACTTGTATACAGACGTCTTAGCATTACAATAAAGGATATGGACAGTGAGTTAATTTGTTTTGAACTTTTGATTTCTTAATTTTCTCTCACTTTCAGTGATTACTGTAGGTCTAATAGGATGCACATGCTTCCTACAATCATTAGAAGGTAGTTATGCTACAGCTGTCATTAGGCGTCAATTAATTACGTATGAAACTCCTTTTGAAGTCACTGTCTCACTTGAGAAGTGGACAGGCACAATGACTGGAGATGAAGCTGCTGTTGGAGACTTTGGTAATGCATTTAAAGTTTTTAAATATTCATTTACTCCTTTAATTTAGATCTCTTCAACTTTACTGAGCAGCATAGTGTTGTATTTCAACCAGCAACAGCAATTGATCAACGTTTGGAGCATGTGACTTTCTTCATGCCACGGGATAATATTGTAGAGTTACCAGAATTGTTTAGATGGAGACTAAGTGTTAATGATTCTAGAGTTAAGATAAATTCTGATACTCAATTAGTAAGACTTGACAATGAAGATGGTAAATCATTTGTTCATGAGATAATTTCATCATTCTTGTATTCTAGTTTTTAGTATTGGGTTTAGAGACCTACGTGTTACTATTAAAGAAGGAGAAGTTGCCCCATTAACTATAAAGCAGATAGGAGATGAGAAAGGTGGTGAAGACATTGGAGGCTTTCCAGAGAATCGTTTACAACCAGTTCAATTAAGACAAATATCTGGGAGTGCCACAAATGGTTAGTATTGACATAATCATGTAGTTCGTTTTTAATATTAATACTTATAGGTCCTGATTTCTCCTTTAATCCTGTTTTTCCAAGATTAACCTACAGACCCAATAATACACTGAATGATGCATTCACTCCTATCACTA